TTATCAGCATTGCAATGGTGAGCTCAGCAAAGGCAGCATTCCTAGGCCATTCCTCTCTCTGTGGCTCCTAGTTTTCATATTAACAATAGGGGGAAAATTCCCAAAGCTCTGGGGTGATTAAAAAGTATGTAAGATTTCCCAGAGAGATGGTGGCCTCTTGTAGGTGYTGTATGTCTCTGCTGGAGGTGCCTTGAGACACTTGCTCTGATCAGATCTGTTTTGGGCAGGAGACTGGACTGGATGACCCCTTCCAAAGTTATGACTCTGTAATGTAATTTGTCCCTTGCAAATAGTAATAGAAAAAAAAACCCCAAACCAACAAAAACCAGAACACCAACAAAACCCAAACCAAGAATGTTCTAGAAAGAGCATCACATACTGCAATTTTCTCTCTCCTTTATTTGTCTTGCTTGACTGTTTCATAAAAGGTATAAAGATGAGGGGGGKTTTATAACAAATTTTAGAAGTTGTCAGTTGACAATTCTGAATCTTATGAAAAATTAATCATACATGGTGCAGTGCTTATTGAAAGAAATTGACTTTTTAATGAAGATATGAATAYATAAATCCTTTCTAGTTTTCACTTTTCTATTCATCCTGACCTTCCCATATCACCTTTGCCCTTAGACACATTGTTCTAAATTGCTTGCTTACTGTTGTTCTCAAATTGTTCCATGAGTTCAGAAATGGTCACACAGTGAGGAACGTTCTTTGTACTGCTTAGACCACTAAATTCCTGATAAATTTATAAAGTTTTGTTCAGGTCCTTTGATATCAGTGTCTTTTGAATAATGATGGTGACGTGACAGTGACATGATTGTCTTTTGCCTACTAAAATTTTAGAAGAAATTGAACACAAATCCCAGTTTTTGCTCTTGATGTGCGAATTCTGTGTGGTACTACTGTGAATCACCTACCAGAAGCTGAGAGGCGGGTACATTTTGTGGGTCTGTACAACGGTTCCTATACACTGATTGTGGACACACTGTAATGAAAAAAACCTGCATCAATGCATCTTTCTGTGTGAGTGTTTTGTTAATTGAAAGGTAGTAAGTTTACTGGGCTCTATTGATAGATGATAGATATTATGATGTTACCAGCAAACTGATGTTCCTGATAGAGGAGATAATCTAAGCTCCTCTTAGAAGTTTCCTAGGAAATGCTCTGCACCTCAATCATTACTGCTCAAACTCATGGTCTAACAAGGAAGATCACAGTGTGATTTTTATCATATTATCCAATGTATTCTAAAAGAAATATGTTAGCATAAGTAAAGTGTTGAGAAGGTTTGGAAGTGCTGATATCAGCTGCCTGAAGGTCTCATGCAGGGCTGGTTGCAATGGCACTACAATAATGCTTTCTGACCTGGTCTGAGAATTATTTCTCTGAATTCGGGCTAAAGCCTGACTTTAAAGTGATGCAAAACCRAAACTCCTAACCAGAGAGTGATGCTGTATATGGGTAAAGAAAACAGAGAGAAGCAGAAAAACTGAAGAAGTTATCTTAATATTGCAATAATGTTAAAGATGGTGGTGGAAAATAAATTTGCCCATTGTGATTTYATTTTCTGCAAATTCTCAAGAAATAATATTTTTGTTGGAAATCAACTGTAATTTTTTATTCCTGTGTGCTAATTTTCAAATATATAAAAACTGGTTTTGAATTTTTATATCTATAAGCTGATTATTTCTTATTCAAGAAATTGAGACTACCTTCTTTTTCTAATTGATTCGTCTCCTTTGTGTGTGTTTAAACCTGATGCTTATATCTGATTTCCTTATGTTGCTGACTTATTTTCATTCTTGCTGGGTGAGRGTAGGTTTTTACATTTATGCCTTCTCTGACCCTGCAGATTCTACCTTCTCTTGATAAGCCCTTTTTCCTCAGTACAAAGTATTGCTGACACTCATACCCATAAAACTGTTGGTGCATTTGACCTGTTCGTTGTTCAGACCATTTTGGAGATGCATATATATCTCCAAATATATATATACTTTGGAGATAGATACAGATCAATATAGATAGATAGAGATATAGATGCAGATATATAGATAGATATAGATATAGATATAGATTATTTATAGATATCAATATAGATATATAGATTATATAGATATATATAGATGATATATCGATAGATATAGATGATATATAGATAGATATAGATGATATATAGATCTAGATATCAATATAGATATATAGATGATATAGATATAGATATAGATGATATAGATATAGATAGATATATCTTATTGTATAATATTTAGTGACTATTTTACATACAGAATTCTGACTCCACCTCATGAAGCCTTTTCAGATGCATCTTCACTTGTAATGGATGAAATTTTTTTGGTTGTTTACAACCAGTTGATGATCCCCTTGCTTGTGCTGCCAGATCTGTTTCACAAAGAGCAGCAAACTTGTGCCTGGATTGTTAGAGAGGTGTTTTCCCCGAATGCCCTGTACCTCTGCAGTCCCTCTTGGGGCTGTTCAGCGCTGACAATGTGCATGCTCTCTGCTGGGCATTATGACAGTCTGAGTGACACGGCATGCAATGAATAATAATGTGTCATAGCTGCAAGTAGTTAGAGCTTCCCTCACTTCTAGYACCTTGCCTAATGTGCCTCTCCCACACAGTTTTGTGACAAAGGCCTTAGATATATTTATATACTTGCTCTCATTTAACCAAAGCAGAAATTCTTGTCATTCTAGGGCTTAGCATACAAGGTCTTCATCAGCATGGTTGCCCTATAAATATCTCACCTAAATACCTAGAGAATCAAATCCCAAAGATGGGCATGGGCATAATACAGAACTAGCCCAGGGAAAACATCAATCAGTTTGCTAAAGTAGGAATGTATGAGATGCTGATGTTTGAATTTTTCTGCAGAAGGTAGGGAAGAGGTATCTCAAATACTTTCTCTGTSTTAGTATCAGCACATTCTGGAAATAAATTTGTATTTGGGAATAAATTTTCTAATGCATATTCTCTCTGCATGGAATTGCCCCAGTCATTCTGAGAAGTTGTAGATTGTTTTGAGTCTTTTTGGTTTTTTTAAACTGACCAGCAGGCTTRATGACTGACTCATATCCTGCCATGCACTGCCACCCACCTAATACCATAGTGACAAGCTGCTCGTTTTCTTCTGTTCAAAAGAAATAAGAAATAGAAATTAAGTCCTTCAAAGAATAGGGCAGTCTCAATATTGGTATGATTAATTTGACATGGATGGTGCTGTCTACCTGTAAGATATGCTTACCCCTGCAAGGTTATGCATAGACATTAAACATTTAGCATCTATTAATTTCTATTAGCATTCCAAAAAAATTAGTGTTCTCTTCTGGAAGGCTTTTAAAGATGCAAACATATGGGAGTTAGCCGATTAATGAAGTGAGGCAAAATCTGTAAATCACAGAATTTTCCAAATCCACMTGTTTAAGCACCTTTTAAAATATCTCCCAGAGGTTTTGTTTGTAGAATTGTCAGTTTTTTTGATGTTCTAATGTTCAAAAAAGTTTAAATTGAAGAATTCAGCAAGCTCAAATTCTTGTGTGACAAATAAGAATTTCTTATCTTAAACACATTAATTTAATAGGAACAATGCCAATACTACTCTGCCTATAAACAAACAGAAAATCCTGAACTATCAAGTTCAATACCAATCTGCATCTATCTCTCTAAAAGTAAATACTTTCCAATATCTAAGAGCTGGTTTATTTTTGGAATATATAATCTAAATTTTGTAAATTATTTGTCACAGATATTTGAAATATTCATTTATATGAATGTTTATTCTTTAAGTCTTTATGACTATAAAATCTCCATGACAATACATTTAAACATTACCATTTGTCATGATAAACACATATGATGACATATGTACATCAATTAGGTATCTCTATAAAAGGCAGAAACAAATCAGTCTCTGATTCTTTCTTCTGCAGTAGTCATGCAGGAAAAGAAACAGCAATTTTCATACTATTCTGTAATTTTCAGTAACTATATGAATTCTTGGGAAAATGTTAAGAGAAAATAAATGTATAAAAAAAGATTACTTTGGAACCATTAATTTATTTTTTCTTTTAATACCAATAAATAACAATTGAGATATTTCTATTTTCTTTGTATTTATTTTCCTAAGAAAATTGAGAGCAGGAGCATGAAATAAAAAAAAAAAAAAAACAAATTAATTTGTCTTTGAAAGTCATGTTTCTGTGGAAATTTTTTATATGAAGTTGAAACAACTTAACAACCTTAGTTTTGTGAGAGTTTGCATTAAAATTTTTGATTGAGACTAATATTTTCTTCTAAATTTATTTTCCAGAAAAGACATTCTAGTAAAATGTACCATATGTGCTTTAGGACCACAGATGGTTAATTCCTGCTTCCAGATATATGCCTTCATATATGGAGTTATTAAATATGTTTTCCAAAAATGATGACTCATCGTAGCTGGCTCATCTTTGGAGAACACATTTAAATGGAACTGGATTTAGCAAATATTGCTGTGCTGCTTTTGAAAATAAGGCCCATTTGAAACATTTTAAGTGAAAGGTCATACCCCCTTTCCTCTTGATTTTTACAAAAAGTATTTGCCATTAAGTTTTGAAGAACATTTGGAAGAGTTGTCTTCAGTCTCTTATTCTAATTTTCTTAATATTAGTYCTTCTTATTTTTCAAAGACTATCAGTACTGTGATTTTTGAAGCCAATAGTGTTCCTTATCTCTCAGAGATTTTTTTTTTWTATATATTTCCACCTACATGCACAAAAGAATGTAAAGCAAATACAATTTAAAGGAAGTGCARTCTTAATATGATCTGGCAGAAAAGAGTAAGGAGAGAGAAATAGAAGGTCTGAAAAAACAAAAAGTGTTTAGTACAACTGTGGATAAAATACAGTCTTCTGTGCATCATCTCTTCTGGTTTTTTATTCCCTACACTCAAACAATCTTACAATCATGATGTGCATCTTCTTAAACAATGTTTCATCCCTTACAGGTGTTTTATCCTGTTCATCACCAGAAATAGTCCCTTTGACAAGAAACTCTTSCTTAGACCTTGAAGATTCATTAAGGTGAGTTTTGATTTAATACTGGACCATTCCACCTGGAAATGAAGTTCAGGGAGTTTACAGCAAAACTTAGTCCAAAGTATCATTAATAATAAAAAGGAAATACTCTTTAAATTGTCATTATTCTTGGCATCATTGTCACCCCTTGTGACTGACAGCATTCCTTAACTTCTTATCAGTATTGCTAATATGGGATCAATAAAAAATGAGAAAAGTTCTCAGCCATAAATTTTTTTTAGAAATTTTCAAAGGATCCTGCCCTAATGGGGACAAAGATGTTTATTCATATTGAACCTTTTTCCTAAATATAGAGTTACCTTTTCTACTTGTAATATTTCCAGGGCTTAAGTGTTAATTAGATGCAAAATGGTCTTGGCTATTCTCCCACTTACACTGCTTTTACGAAGTGAAAGTTATGGAACTACCTGTTATGGAATAATCTTGTATTCTTCTTAGAAATAACACCACAGTGGACTAGACAGACTATTGGTCTGTTTTGGAATGGCCAATAGCCCAGTAAATTTCAAAAAAGTTTTTAGAGGCTGATTATTGTCTTGTAGTTTTTCATTAGTACTGAAAGATGATCAGGTGTTTCATATGCTCTTGAAATGAGTGGAGTTTTCATGTGTATGTGGAGATGGAAGAGATGAGCMCTTGGTCAGAAAGTCCATGGAACTTAAGGTTGAAGAGGAATTTTTTTAAGTAACCTRTACCATAATTCAGAACATTTGTGAGTACAAATACATGTTTGTTCATCGTGAGGTCCTAAGTGGTTCCCTGACTTTTCATCCATCTGATTTAAGTCCATCTGTCAAAGTATGTTTATACTACAATGTATTCAGGGATCTTAAGTCATTTAATATCAGGTATTGACTGCWAGGGTACAGAAAGGAATTGTAATTATTTAGAGGGTGGGTTTTGATCCTATTTGCTACCTTRTATTTTCCAATTTGCCTTGCCTGGTTTAGTGCACATTTTATGATGATTATGGTGTCAYATCATGCACTGACACCACTGGGAAACTTTACCCTTCCTAGTCCAAATTCCAGTGAGTCCTTGCACTTTAACACATGCAGTTCAGTGTTATTTCCCTTTTACAGGTAGAGTAGCAGGCATGCASAGAACCAAATAATCTGGCTTGAAAYCATGCAAAGAGTCTGGAAATACAATTCCAGTGAGTCCTGGCTATAACACCTTTGATGCCCACATCACTAGCTGCTGTCCTGCATACACCAACGGTAAGCAAACAGATTCTTATATAGATTTTATGAATTGAAGTATTTAAAGTCATTTGAATTCAGATAAATCTGGAGAAAAAAGAAGAAAAGAAGTTTGTGTTTTTTCCTGGTGGCCAAGGATGACCTATTAGTGACTTAAGTGGGGGTGGGGTGGGGGGGGGGGGAGAAGGGAGTGAAAAAGAAAAAAACTCTATGAAAGAACAGGGTTGGTTTTTTTCCTATTGACAAGTAAGGGCAAAATGAAAATTTGCTTAAGTAAAAATTATGCCCCAATGTTGGACATAGAAAYAGAAGATGCCGAAGATATTTAGTTGAAGTAATTTATTTTATAGGAATCTGCAAAGAGATCTTGAAAATCAAAGTTATCCCCTCGCAAAATATTACAAAATTTTCTTCTTTTTTTCTTCTTTTTGACAATTTGCCTTCTGTGTGAAACATTTCTTTTCCTTTCCAATTTATTGAAAGCTCTAACTTTCTTTGCATGGTTAAAGCTAATCAATATGTTTTCTGTGATGAAAATTTAGAAATCTTGAATGTAACTTTTTCTTTGGCTCAGAAGTTAAATAGTAAATCTTCTCCCTGTATCAGAATTTCACTTTAAATGTATGCTAAACATGTGCAMAAGTTAGGAAAATATGGCTACTAAATTGTTTCTCATTAATGTTTTGAAGCATATGTGGTTGAGATTTAATTCTCAATATGCGCAAATTGTACTTTCTAGTCACAATAACTCCACAGAAGAAGAAATTAGGATGTCTGATACATTCATCTCTGTGCCAAAGTATCATATTTTTGCTGTTTAATATTCACTGAGGGGAAAAAAGGCTGTCACACTATAAAGATATTATTTTGAGAGTGATGTATCATCCCTGCCCAAGTCTAGTTGTCTCTATTCTTAAATTTTACATTCTTAAGAATTCAATTTAGAAGAAACAGTCCTTCTTTTTCACTCTACTAACATTTTCCAACCCCAATGATTTTATGATTCTAGSATTTACAAAACCAAACACATATTAAATGGGGCATGAATATAAAACTAAGAGCTATGAGCTATTCTCATTTACACCTGCATTAATCTGGAGATGCTCCACCGAAATCAAGGGAGTTACTCCTCCCTATAGAGCAAATTCACAACAGTTTAATGTCAATGGCACTGTCCCAGAAAGGTCATTTAGATTCAAATTCTAAGCCTGAAATTAGTGGAAAAGGAAAATGACAGGATTTGGGATGTTATTCTCAGGACAGTTTTAAAGTGAAAACTCCTGAAATTTTGTTCTAAGCCATATTGTAATTCAGATTTTTTAATGTTGAAAACAGTAGGCATTTCAGTCAATTCATTCACATTTTATAAGAAGCTGAAAATATGTCCATTGTAAAGAACCAGAAACTGGAACAGAAAAATATGAAGCCATTCTTCTTTTGCTTTTTCTTCTTCTTCTTCCTTTTTTTGAATAAAAATAATAATAATTAATTTTGTCATARGATAGGGGGTTTGTCATGCACTTCCTCCTTATCTGGACTAATTAGTTAAAGTAAAACTGGGAATAGAATGTGAAATAATTGTGCTCTGATTTCAGGAAACATACCTACAGTCTGAAATGATCATGAGTAAACTGTTTTGAACAAATGCATTCGGGTGCATGTGGTGAGGGGCTTTGGGACTCAATAAAAATTGTCCTTCAATGTTTTGGAAATAACAGCAGCAAAAAAAAAAAATAGTGTAAAGATTAATGTTGGTCTTCATGATGCTGAAGTCAAAGATAGACGTTGGAATGGAAGTCAAAGTTTAAAATCACATGAAAAAAAAAGATGCTCTGCAAAATTGCGGTTTTATTTAAACCAGCAGAAATCTTATCATTGCCCTCAGTGGAACCAGAATATATCTGCTGGGTACAAAGGAAACTTTKTCTTTTATTTTACTATGTGATTACCTTTGTGAATATGTGTATAAGGATTACTGTTCTTGGTAGGTGCCCTAAAGTCATTCTGCAATAAATGTAGAAGTTATTACCAACCTTACATATATATATATGTACCTAGTCAGAATTGCAAAACAATCCCAAGAACAAAATTAGGAAAAGTTTGCCTTTTTTCTGTTAGTAGCTTTTCTTTCACGTTTGTTTTCTCAAAGCATAATTCATTTTAGGAAAGAAAGACCCTCTGCTAGTGCTGGTTGAATGCTAAGCACATAATTCTCTAAACACACAGWGAATAAGAGAAACTAGGAGCACTTTATAAAAAAATCTTCTTACCAGTTAGGTTCCACAAGCAGAAATTCTAGAAAGTCTTTGTAAACAGCAAGTTGTTTTCARTGATGGATTGTTAACATGGAAGATAAAAATTTGAACAAATGTACAATAATKGTAAATTTGTTCCCATTAACCCAGCTGCACAAGGAACTTGTAGTGAACATACAGAAGTTTTGAGAATGTGGTTCCCTTCAAATATAAACAATAAAACCCATCATTCAGCTTCACCTTTACCAGACATTATTGGTATTGTGGTACTATGAAGAGATGAGTTTATTGAACAGTCATGTAAACATCTGTGTGCCTAAATCATGTGCTGTGGTTTTACACAGATTTTCCTGGAAGGAGGATGTGTTTTCTTTTACTTCTTCCAAGCCACTATGACCCAGTATAAATTACCTSCAAAACAAAATTACCCACAAAACAAATTTAAAAGAATTGAACAGTAATCAGTGAAATCACATAATCAGGAAATTATGTACTGTGGGCTCTGATGACAATAGAAAATTCACAGTCTTCCTGTGAGATTATAYATATTTTATTACTCTGAGATTTTTAGGATCCCCATTGCATTCATAAATTGATTAGTGAGCTTGATCCTGATCCTGCAGTCAAAAGTATGTGTCAGCAATTTTTGTTCCCTTTTGAAAGTAGTAAGCTGTAAGAGAATTCAAGTACTCTCTCCATATGCAAACAGGTTCTTGTCAGCAAAGCTAAATAAAATAGAAAGAATATTATGTTCCACAGTTTTCTTTATAATTTCCTCATTTTTATTTAAAAGGAAGGCAAGGCTGTCAACTGACTTTGGAAAATGTTGCAATTGCATTTTACTTTGTCTAAGAAAAGCAGTCTGGTTTTACTCTTTTCCTCAAAATTTGTTTATTCAATTATAATGTTTCTCTTCTCCTTTCTTTAGGGCAAGAATCTTCTTTTCTTAGGATTTAGCCATGTTTCTCTTCCACCAGATGACTGAATGTTTGGTCCTCTCTACTAGTCTCTTCCAGTGTTAATCACACACAGAACTATAGTTCTGTAACTCACCTTGTCTGTCRGAAAGGGTGTTTTGTAACAATCTGTTGTCCATGTTTATTATGTGAAGATTTGCCAGTTCATACATTTGAGTTTWGTTACCCTCCCATACTCAGGATTGGGCAAGATCAAAGGCATTATACAAACAATATTGTTTCAAGGCAACAATATATAATGTGCTGCAGGAAAAACATAACACAATTCTCTCCAGATTTAATTATAGCCTTTTAACATTTCATTAATGAATGACTTATTGTGATGATAGCAAAATATTTAATGAGGTTTCACACACATGTAACATATATGCTTGTTAAACAGATAATGCAATTACATTTTTTTATTTTGTTTAGTATAAGGGTATTTAGTTTTTGATGTTGCACAGAATCTTATAAATATTGCAAACTAGATTGCTTTAAAGTTATGTTCTAGGAAGTTAGTCACGCTATCTTCTATGTTTATTAGGTGATAAAGCCTAATTGATGTATTAAAGATAACAAACTTTTTGAAAGATCATATCATAGCCTAGAGCGTATTGCAGTTTTGATACCTTGTTTTGTTTAGTCACATTTAAGCCAGCAAATGTATTATCTTTGTATATATAGATACATGTATTCTATTTAAGTACTGTTATCTGTTAGAAATGTGTATTTTAATGTCATTTGAAAATGTGTACATTTTATCACAAGTGAGGTATTAYTTTGTATCAGATACTGTAGTTATAGCTGAGGCTTGTGTCTTAGATTCTGATTGGGTCCCCAAAATTTGTTTATCTTCTGTACCTGACACTTATATATTTGTTGAATTCAGTTATGGAAACCTGTACTTTCACTCACAGGTTCTTTATAGTAGCAGGAAATTGTCCAGGAACTGGAAAAAAAAAAAAAAAAAAAAAAAAAAAAAAAAAAAAAAAAAAAACAAACCCTAAAAAAACCCCCAAAACACAAACCAGTGGAGGAAACATATTAGACTGTGATGTTTTTATCCTTCTGGGAAAAGGAACAACCTTGTGGTTTTTTTTTGATTTTGAGTAGTAAAAAGACTCATAAGACATTTGTAGACTCAAAATACACCAGCAGCATCAGTGAATCACACAGGAACAAAATAAGCTCACCAACTGAGAAAAAGATTGTTACTTGTCAGCARCTTCATCTCCTACTACACTTTCAACCTTCCCCAAAAAGCCCCAGAGAGTTTTTTAGCATTTTTGAAAGACTGCTGGGTTTGGGTTATTTATTATTGCTCCACACTCAGCCTTTCACCCATTGCAGGTAATTTTTGTTTGCCRTTGATTTCACAGATAGTAAGATCAGATGCTGAATGGGCCTGGTTCCAGTTGCTTAACTTCCATCTCGTAGAATTTTCTCCCCAGAAAGCCTGTTGAGTCAGTAAAATAAATCTGAAAGTCAATGTTAATGATTCAGTAAGTGTTACTTGACTGAATTCAGCTAGTTTATGGATTTTATAATTCTGGAAAAACGTCGAATATGACATATAACTTCAAGTTTATTTTATTTCCAAGTATGTCAATTTCACAGGAAAGCTGAAGCCTGAGTAAGGATACCAAACATATCTCGACTATTTGAGAGAGGACTGAGCAAAGAGCGAGGGATATTATCATATGCATGGGAAAAAAAATCAGTTACTGCTTAATATTTGAAGTTTGCTATAATTACCATGAAAGCACCTGACTAATTCTTTTTTTGGAGGTTGTGTGGAGGAGTG